ATCGTTAATTGAGTGATAATTAATAAAAATTGTAAAATTAACTAGCGGATAATTATAATCATTATTTTCGCCCTTTTTCCTTCTACTAGCATTTATTTATAAAAAGATTCGTGACGTCACACTAATGAGCGTGAAGGACGTAAAGATAGGGAAAAGCTTACGAGTGAAATAAATGTAAGAACATCTTGGATAAGGATGAAAGCATCGTACCATTTACAGTTGTGTGATAAATCAGATAAGAAATGTTTACAACTGATTGATTTACCAGACGAAAGCTTAAAGATAAAGCTAATAAATTTAGTTCACCTTATGTGGAAAATAAAATTTTAGTTTTTAATTTTTGCTCAGCGAATGGAGCAACAGTATGCAAAATTAAATCTATTATATTGCTAATTGAGTAATTAATTAATTCATTAATGCTTTATATTGATTTCAGAAAAGTGTGAAAATATTTTTTAATTTACATATAAAAGTATTTAAAAATTAATTAAATTATCCATCTAGCCTTTTTTGCTTGCCTATATTAAAATTTCACCATATTTATCTATCCGGAATGAAATAACCTAACAAACAAATATCGCATTAAAAAAATTTATTTGAGAGTAGTAAAATGTTACAGTGTACAGATCGTTGATCACAACTGTAATGCCAATAGCAGTACGGAATATAAAAAAAAATACGGTAAAAGTGAATACAAATCTTCGACCAGAAAATATCCCGGTGATTGCCATTATAGCAAATGCGATTTCAATTTCAGCTGGAAGGAAAAATTTTAGATAGTATAATTTTCATTTATTTATAATATAACGCAATCATACTATTCAAAAATTCATATTTCATTAAATTTGATAATTATTTAATAAATTATTCTCATTTTAATTGCCATCTTTCTATTCATTAATCTTTTTTTACAAAAAAAATCGAGAAAAAAAAGTAAGAATTTACGCCAATTATGATTTTCAATCCATCCATAAATATAATTTTCAGATGCAAACTTTGCATTTTGAGCAATCAGATGAATTGCAATCAGCGTACGATAAATGCAATAACCGGTCAAAATTGAATTTTCCAGCAGCTCCGATATTATACCCATTTTTTTTTTGTAAAAGTTATGAATATTTTTTGAAAATATGATTAGTATTATTCTGATAATACGTTAATAGACGGAGTAATACGTGAATTTGCAAGGTATAAGTTAGTGATGAGTAATCATTCGAAATTCAGTAGCAGCCGCCTAATTTATTGATAAAATGGGAAATAAATTAAAAATTCGAAGTATTCAATTTTATACTTGATAACAGTAAACAAATTTTGTGTATAAGCGAATATATTTTGCTGTGCTTAATGTCATCTTTTTTCTCTTTAATATATTGGTAATATTTATAAGATATTTCGAAATTGGATAAATTAAAGATTAAAACATTAAAATATGAATATTTTAATGTGTCAGCCAGAATGTTCATTTAACTTGAAATTTAACTTTACAGTTTGAAAACTAAGCGTTAATTCTTACTGTCTTTAGAAGTCACACTACGGATCATATCAGAGCTATAACATATCAGTCATCTGCACTGATCCATTTTTAACCTTTAACCTTCATACTGTAAGCAATATGATTGCAGCAATTCAATTTTCTTACTTCTCAGCAAAATTCCAATAATTTGGAAATATTTGTTAGAATTAAATAATTAATTGATTATAAGATTACATCTTAGGTCTGTAATCGTTACATATAACTGAAATTGAAAATTTAGTTTGACAAAAAAAATTTTTGAAAAAATGAATAAACCTGTTTGGTTGGCACCTTTTATGATAACTTCTTTATTTCATAGCGATAAAAACAGATTTTATCAAATAGCAAATAAGAGAAGAGAAAATTTTATTATTGAAACATTTTTCATATATTTGAAAAGAGAAAAATTTTGAGATGTGTCCGCTTCATTTTGCAATTTCAAAATTATTGCATAACTTTAACTCTTTAAGTATTGCTAAATTAGATTAAAAAATATGAAAGGTTAGCTTATTTTAGCTGACATCAAAACTTGTTATTCCATCGTCGACAGTCGTAATAATCTCATCAACATTTATCATTAACTTCATAAGAAATAATTATAACATCACAATCACTTTTTCAAACTTTCAAAAAATGATTATGTGATAGATGATTGAATAATTATAATTGATGTATTCATTCTGTCAATTGGATTTTCAATTTTCTCTAAATTTCACCATACTAACTTTCTTCAACTAATTTCATATATCTTTCATTGACAAGAAAAAATGCACAATTAATTCAAATAACAAATGTAAATATTGGGTAAATATAATCAATCATTCAGTGTTCATTCATCCTGGCAATATCTTCAGCTGATAAAATTGTTTTGACACATGTTGGGCCAGGGCTCATTACACATTTATGTGATGGTGGACATTCCGTTGCATCACATGCTGCAAAAAAATTGATAACAGTTTGTTTATTGCAAATAATGATCGTATATAGCTGATAATCTATTTAAATTTATAAATCAAAAAAAAAGCGGCACTTCTCTTTCTGCTTTTATATTTCATTTAAAGTGTAATTTTTGTTTTTGTTTTTTTTTTTTAACTATCGAATTTTAGCTGAGAAGAATTTAAAAAGAATTTTGAGACTTAATAAAAATGAAAAGAGAAAGGAAATGTGCAAACTTCCTGGTGGAACACATTTCGCAATTTTACGGCACGATCGACCAATGCATGGTATCAATTTTTCGGCACATACTTGACCTGCTGGACAGGGTGGATGACTTTTACAGCCTAAAGTATCTTTTAATCAATTTAGTCTTATTCTTTAAAAGAGAAAACTTCTACATGCAAGAAATTTTTCGAACAGAAATATATCAATTCAACCGAAAATTTCTAATATTTTGAAAAATTTAGAATAAATCTATCAAAAATCTTTCCACATATTTTCTCCATCCCATATACTTTTGAATTTCGTATTTAAGAGAAAAAATATTTCTCATTTGAATGGATAGCCTAAAAATGCATATTTTGAAGAGTTGTAAATAAGCAATAAATTTTTTCCATTTAATATTTCCGATAATTATCAGTCGTAATCCATCGGTTTTTTTTTTCCAATTAAATACTGCTTTGGTGAAAATTTCAACAGCTATAAGCAAACAAATTTTTTTCCTATTTTTCTCATACTTTCTTTGCACATTTTGGTTATTTGTTTATTTAGAAATATATTTTGAAAAAAAAAAAGTGCTAAAACCTTTGGTACTGTCCGGCATACAAACAAGCATCGGACGACACGGTGGCGTTTTACATGAGACAATATCACGTTCCTCACAATATGTCCCCATTGGACAAAATTTATCCACACATGCTGAAATATTTTAAAAATAAAATTATAAAACAAAATTTAATTATTCGCTCAATCAAATTTCTGTATACTTTCATCCTAGAATAAAAGCTAATTGCAAATTAAAATTAATTTATGAATTCATTAATTAGATAATGAATTGAGAAATGCAATAAAATACATTTTATGAACTGATAAATGTATTTTAACAAATGTTCATTTAAACTCACTTTCAAATCCGTTGAGATCAATGAAAATGCCAAAAATCTAAATAAGAGTATTAATTATGAAATTTGAAAATTTGTTTTTCCTTCCCTTCATTTATTAATAAGAGCTGTCAAAAATCAATTTCTATTATTTGAGTATTTCGTTAGCAAATATTTTTAGGATTATATAGAATTCATGCTTCCATAAGTTGAATTATCTTAAAAAACTCTTTGAAAATAAAAAGAAAAAAAAATGCTAACTATTAAGCAAACTAGAAGCATTGCCACAATCGTTATTAATTGTTGGGCAAACAACTATCAACAATTTAAATGTCGCAGAAATAGTTTGTTCAAAATAAAAATGACGAAAAACAAGTTTTCAATTTCAAAATGAAAAAGTAAAAAAAAAACAAGAAGCAATCGTTGAGGAGCAATAAATGTACTTTTTTATATCACTTTCAAAACTTCCGTTTTCATTATTGATATTTCAAATGCAAAGAGTTAAATTATGCAAAAAGTAATGCGGAAATATTGATAAGAAATGAGAGATTTAAGTGATTTAGATAAAATTGTTGCAAAAATGATTGATACAAATCCATATTAAGCATTAAATATTAAATTAGATCACTCACATGTGTGAAGAGATTATGCATCTCTGAAATGAGTTATCATTTCACATAATGCTTTGATTGATAGCATCGAATATTTGATTACGTTACATTCCGTTCAGGTTTTATCATTTCATTTAAATCATTAATCATTTAAAAAAAAAAAACCAAAACATTTAACGTTATGGTTATGTGAGTGTTAGCAAAATTCAAGTTATGAGTTTAAACATCGAAATGTTTTCGCAATAGAAATGATTGTTTTTATTTTAATGAGTTCTTTAATCTTTCACTAAAATGGGTTAATAATTACTAGCAATTATAATGTCTACACAGGCGTGTAATTTCATTATTGAAGGCTGAATTTATGCAAATATTTTAGCATTGATTTCTATTAGTGTTTTAAAAGCAAAATTTTTAATAACTTTTTAACAGACTGTGAAGTAAAAAAAAAACCCATTTGGTAAGATTCATGCTATTTTACAATATTCAAAACATAAATTTTGTTGGAAAATTGAAATTAATTTAAAATTACTTGAATTTTTTCAACTTTTTTTGGTCTGTTCTGAGCAGGACAATAATTCTGTTACAATTTTTACTCTTTTCCATTTTTTTTTT